AAGCTAGCCATTAAACGTCTTGTGTGTAACATCAACACAATTCCCCGGCAGATGGGGATATTTGTGGCCCCGCATTTGCTTGTGTTAGTCAAATTGAATCTAAGTCGATGTAACACGTGTTCTGATTGGATAGAAAGAAGGGAGATAATTCGTGTTGCGATCTTTTGCCGCTAGGGATTTTACGAGGACCGGGAAATATGGCCGTATTAGAACAGAGGTTATGTTAAATGACCCTTGTGAAACTCTCGTGAAAACGGGTGATGAAACGGTGTGCCTACCCCTCTATTCACTGAACTGTGCACCCTGCATACAATAACTGTTGTCACAGCCCCTTTCTCAAACAACCCTGTGCGCTTGTATCCGCCCCTGCTTGTTGTTTAGGTACACTCAACAGCACAGATAGGATTTGGACTATGTGTCCCAGTAAATGTTGGAGTTCAATGTTAGTTTTTCCTTTGTTGACAGTTAAACGATCATGAAAAAACGATTGGTTTGTATCTTTCTCCAAAACCCCTGCTACAGTAACTTCCTGAACATGCTTGCACCACTGCAACAGTATAGGTACTGAACGTGTATTCTGGTGGCAACAGGGATGAAATCCCCAATACATTGGTGTCTACAGTTGTATACAATCTCAGACACACACTTCTCCCAGACAATGCAATTTAACTCACTTTGGCAATACATCGAATAAAAACACACTTTGACCTTGAGTGAGTGAGTGAGGGAGCGAGTCGTGTTTTATACCGCTGTTCGGAATATTCCAGCAACATTACGACTGGAACACCAGAAAAGGTTTCATTGTACCAATGTGGGGAATCGAACCAGGCGTTATGTGTGACGAGAAGACTAGGCTTCCCCACAGCATCTAGACGGGCTTGGCAGAACACGGCAGATCGAAGGTTGAACGGGATGTGAGATAAAATATGATCAGTAGTTATGGAATTTCCCGGCTTTGGTGTTGGCGACTGTCCAGAAAGTACTTCAGGTATTTCCGACCTGTTGAGGTGCGGTGAAATAGGGGTTAACGGCGCGTTTGGGATTATTGCCTCTACAGAGCATGCATGTGAGTGGCTACTTGTCTGGATTTGGGCCGGATTTATAGTACGTGCGTCCTGAGATACCAGTTTATCATGGATACCAAACTCAGTCACAGTATACACCGACCAGTTCCTGTTTTATTCCGTTAGTGCCGAGCTCCAGGCAGGATAACAACAAGTGGCACATTTTGGTAGGACACTGTGAGGAGCTCGAACACCGACCTTCCGCACGTTTTAACATTTTGGTAGGACACTATGAGGAGATGGAACACCGACCCTCCAACGGCCCCAATAGCAGCCTATACATGCATCCCTTATTGTTCTGACTGAACAAGTCACTTTCTGGTTCTATTGATTAATGTCTGTTTGAGCTGTTTAATTACACCAATCACTGTCTAGTTATATCGATCACTATCTACTTTTACCAATCACTGTCTAGTTGTGCCAATAACTATCTAGTTGTACCAATCACTATCTAGTTGTACCAATCACAGTCTAGTTGTACGAATCACTATCTAGTTGAACCTATCACTGTCTAGTTGTACGAATTACTATCTAGTTGTACCAATCACTATCTAGTTGTACCAATCACTGTCTAGTTGTACGAATTACTATCTAGTTGTACCAATCACTGTCTAGTTGTACCAATCACTGTCTAGTTGTGCCAATTACTGTCTAGTTGTATCAATCACTGTCTAGTTGTACCAATTACTATCTAGTTGTACTAATCACTGTCTAGTTGTACGAATTACTATCTAGTTGTACCAATCACTGTCTAGTTGTACCAATTACTATCTAGTTGTACCAATCACTGTCTAGTTGTACCAATCACTATCTAGTTGTACCAATCACTGTCTAGTTGTACCAATCACTGTCTAGTTGTACCAATCACTGTCTAGTTGTGCCAATTACTGTCTAGTTGTATCAATCACTGTCTAGTTGTACCAATTACTATCTAGTTGTACCAATCACTGTCTAGTTGTACCAATTACTATCTAGTTGTACCAATCACTGAATAGTTGTACCAATCACTATCTAGTTGTACCAAGCACTGTCTAGTTGTACCAATCACTGTCTAGTTGTACCAATCACTGTCTAGTTGTACCAATCACTGTCTAGTTGTACCAATCACTGTCTAGTTGTACCAATCACTGTATAGTTGTACGAATTACTGTCTAGCTGTACCAATCACTGTCTAGTTGTACCAATCACTGTGTAGTTGTACGAATTACTGTCTAGCTGTACCAATCACTGTCTAGTTGTACCAATCACTGTGTAGTTGTACGAATTACTGTCTAGCTGTACCAATCACTGTCTAGTTGTACCAATCACTGTCTAGTTGTACCAATTACTGTCTAGCTGTACCAATCACTGTCTAGTTGTACCAATCACTGTCTAGTTGTACCAATTACCGTGTAGTGGTATGAATCACTGTTTAGTTGTACCCAATTACTATCTAGTTGTACCAATCACTGTCTAGTTGTACCAAGCACTGTCTAGTTGTACCAATCACTGTCTAGTTGTACCAATCACTGTGTAGTTGTACGAATTACTGTCTAGCTGTACCAATCACTGTCTAGTTGTACCAATCACTGTGTAGTTGTACGAATTACTGTCTAGCTGTACCAATCACTGTCTAGTTGTACCAATTACTGTCTAGCTGTACTAATCACTGTCTAGTTGTACCAATCACTGTCTAGTTGTACCAATTACCGTGTAGTGGTATGAATCACTGTTTAGTTGTACCCAATTACTATCTAGTTGTACCAATCACTGTCTAGTTGTACCAGTTATTATCTAGTTGTACCAATCACTGTCTAGTTGTACCAATCACATGTCTAGTTGTACCAATCACATGTCTAGCTGCAACCGCTACTGTCTAGCTGCAGTCTTAAGAAGTGCAGAATTGTGGTTCTGGAACAGGTTCGACATGACATTGACAGATGGAGAGCTGTTGGTATGCTTCAGTCTGTACCTTCATTTAACGACCATAGAAACGCCAGTTGGGACATACAGCAAAACAATCAAGTTATAGACCGTCCACGTGATGCCCACCAGTAACGACCCAAAGTCAAGACCGATGGCACCACGAACCACGCACCTCGGACACAGGTTGAAGCCAGTAGACCCTTACAGCCTGTACCATACCTGGAACAGAAGTGAATCTGCGAAAACAGTTCGACGACGTCTTTGCGCCTACGGCGTCCGTGCAAAGTGTCCAGCCCGACGGTCAGTTCTGACGCTGGAACATCGACGAAAACACTTACGATTGGGAGCACGTAAGTGGAGAGGTTTTTTTCACAATGCAAACCGAATCATCTAATAAATTAATCACATATATGAAATATATGAACTGGGAATGAAGTAGCACAGCGTTAGTCCCGCTCACAGAAAAACTATTTTTCGTAACCACCAACCATGAATTTTGTCATCAAAACTCTTAGTGAGGGCGATGTCATGAACTATACCGATGAGTCACGTTTCCTTCTTCGCCGTTCTGACGACAGGTCCCATGTCTATAGGTGAACGTCTCATAAGGTCTTGTGTTCTGGAAGAGGTTGTCGTTTTGGAGGTGACGGCGTAATGATATGGGGTAGCAATTTCTGTGATTAAAATTAAGTGATGAGAGGTGTCGAGGCGAGGTGTACGTTTACCGTATCTGCAACTTAAAGGCCCTGGGTATAGCTTCAGCATGATAATGTCAGATCACACGTTGCTCGAGTTGTACAGAAGTATCTTAATCAAACACTTTTGGAATAAAATGGAGAGACGTTTACGACGTCATCTGAATCCTCCAACAACGCTGTAGGACCTCCGCCAAAATCTTTCCTCGGATCTGGAATCATCTTCAACATTACTTTCACCGATGTTTAGTGGACGAAGGTGTCAGGCGTGCACCAATGCACACATTGGAGACACAAGCTACTGACTTTGTGAACTTGCTTGTGAATCCCTTGTGCTGTGGCTCATTTGCATATGGCAGGTACTCCTTTCTTGGGTTTATTACTCGATATGCAGGATGGTAAACGGTTGCTCTGTTTCTTAAGTGATTTTGATTGGTTTTAGTTCCGGTTGCCTTTGATGACTGTAACAATGTTTCTTCGCGCATGTTTCGTTTATATGTGATCCCCTGAAACATGTCGCCCGTGTACAACAAAACCTTTTTTATGTGTTTGATCTCGTCATGTTGTATTGTCGTTGCTAGCATTCTGTCACGATAAGTCCGTAAGCGTCGAAAACTACAATAAATTCAATACACCGACATGATCCGGTAGCCATGCCTCAGCGCGTTATTCCCATAAATATTCACAATAGTGATCGGGTTTTTTTTTCACAATGCCAACCGAATCATCTAATAAATTAATCACATTGCTGAAATATATGAACTGGGCATGCAGCAGCACAGCGTTAGTCCCGCTCACGGCAAATCTATTTTCCGTAACCACCAACCATGAATTTCATCATCAAAACTCTTAGTGAGGGCGATGTCATCTATTGCTATGCTGAGAGAAACGTTTTACTTCACTGAACCCTATTCCATCTACTCCTTTCATTTGAACGCCGTAGTGAGGCAATAGTTTGATCCAATTTTATATTTATGGCTGAATGCTTTTTATCTACTATTATCACATTGTTGTAGTGAGTTGATTTCCCCTGTGATAAATAACTATTTGAGTGTAATGTCTCCTATTACAGCGCGTAGTTGACTGATGTATTTCATTCGGACCCAAGAACAAATTGTCATTGACGCCGTGAGCTCTCGTGCACGCCTCTCCTTTCATCGATAGGTGCCAAGAGGCACCACGTGATGCGTTGAAACCGACTGTGATAACATACGCAGGACAATAACATAGTATATTAATATGGAATTCGAATATTTCATTTTGGCGTGATTTAATGCCAATAGATAGACACGTCCACTTCTCTGAGAGTGTCATTGGTCGCTGCCCCTATCAACGACATAACACATGACACAAGCAGAGGTAGGGTGTGAATAGGCTGTGATGAATTACGGTTCCACCCTGAGCATACAGGGGATAGTACAGGAGGCTACCCATATCCATCGCATAACCGCAGCGATAGCCGTCTTGTTATCTACCCGTACCCCGATCGCGCGCGTCTCGGTAGTCGGGGGCAAACAGATTTATTGAGGGATATGTTAGATATCCTAGGAGTCGTGAGAGGGACACTTTGTTGACAAGGCCCGTGTTGGCAACACTTGCTTGTTTCCCGTTGTTTGGATAACAATCTGTGAGAGGATAAAAGTTTTTACAGGTTAAATTTCAGTTGTCATGACTGACAAAATGTTCTTTGAATTGTGAAGTAATTCAAGTGGTTGATTTGTGTTCAATAACTTACAAACAATTCTATACAGCGTTTGACAAGTTTGAGAAAATGTGAAACTGTTTTTCGGAGCCGGATATAGAAATGAAGTGATGACAATGAAAATCTATTAATATCATTATGTGGACTGCGACAAGGGGAATATTTCTGTCTTTCACTGTTTTGGAGCTTTGCTGAATTATATTTCGGGAGTATCCAGACTTGAAATTATTTGTGTTGGTACATTCTGCAGCTGACAGTGACATGGGGATTAGTTGAATGTAACATTCATTTTCAGAATTATAGTGTGGTTCTTCTTGAACAGTGTACAACCTAATTTCAAAATGGTGTTACTCGGAAATGGAAGTTGGTCCGATCAGGCCAATATGCAGACCAAAGTGTCTGGAAGCTGGTCGGAACAAGCTATGTCGCTCCTGTTGCAGAAGAAACTGCAAGAAAACAGATTAATGGAGTTGCAACGCGCACCTGCCAAACCAAAGACATATCACTTGGCGCCTTCACACACAGACCATCACGTGCATTCTCAGGTACGACAATCACTGTCTATTTTTATTTTGTAAATCTCGTTTGTTTTGGAAATTCTTTCCAGATCAAGTAACTCTTAATATCTTCGTTAACAGGGAATATCTTTAGCACTGCTTACATTCGAAATATTTTCAACAGTTAACAGATCAGTTATACTCTTTCTTAATGTGAAGAATCACTGTTTTAGCCAAAGAGCTCACTCTAACAAAACTGAAGGTCTGAAGAAACCGTCATGACCAATTGTTCGTAAGAGCAAGGAATAGTTGTTCGGATATACATCTGTCGACATGTTGATTTTAAAGTAACACGTTTTGAACAGTTATCTTATTTCGCCCCTTGGAGGCAATGCATCTGTGTTACCTAAATGTAGCTTACATGTGCAGGTGGAAATACCGAAATACAGAAACGGAAACAGATTGCCTACAGAACTGTAAATGTTCAGAGGTATAAAAAATATTTTGGCATTTACAATTGCTTTCTCTGCTTCATCACACAATGAATGACCCAAGTCTTGTGTACATCTCGGAAAGACCAACATAAGACATCGCTGACACATAAGTCATTACTCACATTAAGGTCAATGTCAGATGTGATAATTCCAACCATTTGCATGAGATATCGGTAAAAATATTAGCTTTACTTCACGGGTTTGGTATTTGTTTGTTTGTCAGTTCTAGTTTGATTATATGACAACGGAAAAAATCATAACTTCGACCACTCATTTATGAAATTATACAAGTAATGGGACAATACGTGCTAATCGGGTTGTCTAGCGATTAACGCGTTCTCTCGTCACTTCGCATGGGTTCGATACCCCACATTTGTTCAATATATATGAAAAATAATGACACTGTTCCCTGTCGTTAAATATTGCTAGACTATGTAAATCTCTCACTGAATCTAACAGATGAAGTTACACAAGTAAAGTGACTAACCTAGTGGCTGTGTATCTAGGGTGGGTGTGAGAGCAGGTCAAACGTTTCATCCGCTTCTAACTGTTTATAAAGCAGAATTGTGAAAATATTGATATCCTCAAAGTAGTTGTCGCGTCAAGCAAATCCTACTTAGCGACGGAGCTCTCGAGTAATTCAAAGTTGATTTTTCACTCAACTCTGATCTTTAGAGACGGAGGAGACAATACACACAGTTGCGCGCACGCACGCACACAGACACGCACATTCAATGTCATAGGGCCGTGTTCAACTACTTAACTTACAGCCTTACCACTGTCGTAATGTTGAGATCGTTTCGTGGGACGGATGATGACGTTTTGCTTGCTATCGTTAGCAGCGAAGCATGGGTATTCTTGGTTAGGAATAATCCCAAACTAACTATTCATGATATACGAGACGGGTTACTGGATCGGGAGTATGTTTGAGAGTATGTTTATAGCATGTTCTTCTGATGCTTGAGTCGTTCATAATATCAATCACTGGTTTGTCTGGTCCAGACTTGATTGTATACACGCCGGCGTCATGAAGCTTGAGAGCGAGGTTCACAAACAAAAATAAAACAAACCCCAAACACTACAAGAGATTCATATATAAACAAATAATAATTTTGTTATGGTCTAATGTTTACACAAATGATACACACAAAACTACTTACTGCATTCAATGTGCTTAATTAATAATTACAGGTAAATATTTATCTAGAGTTAAGAAAATAGTTCAGGTAAATCCGCGAATATGACGCACAGTCTCAGCAGGGGTGAATGTGGTTAACGCTTGTGTTTTAAAACAAGTGCTCTTATGACCACCATAAAACAATAGAACGGTCCTAATATGCTTGGAATCAGCACGACAAACGTTTGTTAAGCAATACAACCAAGATTATATTTTATGAAAACAAACAAGCTACCGCACCCAGCGAATTAATCAATAGTGTTTACTGTCCTATTTCTACAACAGAATGGTGACAATGTATTCAATAATTGTGAAATTGCTGTCAATATACTTTTAGTATTGTTTTATTTGGCTTAGCAAAACCAATCAAGCATGTTTAATCATAACACAAACACAAACGTCCAAACTCAATAATAATGGTGTAATAAATATACCCTAAATATCCTCGTATCAAATCATGCAACAGAAAAAAAAGTAGCAATATTGTCAGAAGCCTTGAGTGATGTATGGTTGCCCTTGACACCGTGGCAAAGATGATTAAAGAGGCAGTTCATAGCCTCGCAAATAATACTTTGCATAACCCAGGTTCTAAAACAATCAGACAATTTCAATCGGACATTGTTGATTTATGTGGGACACAATATATGACGTCGACTCAACTGGGATGTGGTTTTGTAATATCCGGGGGACCTTTAGACTATCGCTCTCTAAAATTATTATATTATTTGGCAGAAACAAAATCTCCATCTCTACTGAAAAGTCGCCCAATTGAAATGGGAACTTTTGATCCTGTGGGAAATTTAGACCTGGTTCATTTCGACCTTTTTATTTGTCAGTACAGTAAGTGCTAGACCGGAGGGGATTATGGTTCAGGAGCTGTGAGACATGCGAGGATCTCCTTGTACAAGAGGTACCGGGATACGTGTATTGAGTTGACACATGTTTAGAACGAGTACGACAAACTTTTGTTAAGCAATGAAACCTAGATTGTTATGAAAACAAACAAGCCACCGTATCCAGCGAAAATGATCAATGCTTTTGCGGCCCTATTCCGTAATGTTGTCAGTTTGTTCAATAGCCATCGTTATTACCATGACATCATACAAGACAGCAGGGGATGGCTCTGACATGGCTGTGTAGTTGTCCAGTGCCGATCATACAAGACAGCAGGGGATGGCTCTGACCATGACAGTCATACAAGACAGCAGGGGATGGCTCTGACATGGCTGTGTAGTTGTCCAGTGCCGATCATACAAGACAGCAGGGGATGGCTCTGACCATGACAGTCATACAAGACAGCAGGGGATGGCTCTGACATGGCTGTGTAGTTGTCCAGTGCCGATCATACAAGACAACAGGGGGTGGCTCTGACATGGCTGTGTAGTTGTCCAGTGCCGATCATACAAGACAGCAGGGATGGCTCTGACCATGACAGTCATACAAGACAGCAGGGGATGGCTCTGACATGGCTGTGTAGTTGTCCAGTGCCGATCATACAAGACAGCAGGGGATGGCTCTGACCATGACAGTCATACAAGACAGCAGGGGATGGCTCTGACATGGCTGTGTAGTTGTCCAGTGCCGATCATACAAGACAACAGGGGGTGGCTCTGACATGGCTGTGAAGTTGTCCAGTGCCGATCATACAAGACAGCAGGGGATGGCTCTGACCATGACAGTCATACAAGACAGCAGGGGATGGCTCTGACATGGCTGTGTAGTTGTCCAGTGCCGATCATACAAGACAGCAGGGGGTGGCTCTGACCATGACAGTCATACAAGACAGCAGGGGATGGCTCTGACATGGCTGTGTAGTTGTCCAGTGCCGATCATACAAGACAGCAGGGGATGGCTCTGACATGGCTGTGTAGTTGTCCAGTGCCGATCATACAAGACAACAGGGGGTGGCTCTGACATGGCTGTGTAGTTGTCCAGTGCCGATCATACAAGACAGCAGGGGATGGCTCTGACCATGACAGTCATACAAGACAGCAGGGGATGGCCCTGACATGGCTGTGTAGTTGTCCAGTGCCGATCATACAAGACAGCAGGGGGTGGCTCTGACCATGACAGTCATACAAGACAGCAGGGGATGGCTCTGACATGGCTGTGTAGTTGTCCAGTGCCGATCATACAAGACAGCAGGGGATGGCTCTGACCATGACAGTCATACAAGACAGCAGGGGATGGCTCTGACATGGCTGTGTAGTTGTCCAGTGCCGATCATACAAGACAGCAGGGGATGGCTCTGACCATGACAGTCATACAAGACAGCAGGGGATGGCTCTGACATGGCTGTGTAGTTGTCCAGTGCCGATCATACAAGACAGCAGGGGATGGCTCTGACATGGCTGTGTAGTTGTCCAGTGCCGATCATACAAGACAACAGGGGGTGGCTCTGACCATGACAGTCATACAAGACAGTAGGGGATGGCTCTGACCATGACAGTCATACAAGACAGCAGGGGATGGCTCTGACATGGCTGTGTAGTTGTCCAGTGCCGATCATACAAGACAGCAGGGGATGGCTCTGACATGGCTGTGTAGTTGTCCAGTGCCGATCATACAAGACAACAGGGGGTGGCTCTGACCATGACAGTCATACAAGACAGCAGGGGATGGCTCTGACCATGACAGTCATACAAGACAGCAGGGGATGGCTCTGACATGGCTGTGTAGTTGTCCAGTGCCGATCATACAAGACAGCAGGGGATGGCTCTGACCATGACAGTCATACAAGACAGCAGGGGATGGCTCTGACATGGCTGCGTAGTTGTCCAGTGCCGATCATACAAGACAGCAGGGGATGGCTCTGACCATGACAGTCATACAAGACAGCAGGGGATGGCTCTGACATGGCTGTGTAGTTGTCCAGTGCCGATCATACAAGACAACAGGGGGTGGCTCTGACCATGACAGTCATACAAGACAGCAGGGGATGGCTCTGACATGGCTGCGTAGTTGTCCAGTGCCGATCATACAAGACAGCAGGGGATGGCTCTGACATGGCTGTGTAGTTGTCCAGTGCCGATCATACAAGACAGCAGGGGATGGCTCTGACATGGCTGTGTAGTTGTCCAGTGCCGATCATACAAGACAGCAGGGGATGGCTCTGACATGGCTGTGTAGTTGTCCAGTGCCGATCATACAAGACAGCAGGGGATGGCTCTGACCATGACAGTCATACAAGACAGCAGGGGATGGCTCTGACATGGCTGTGTAGTTGTCCAGTGCCGATCATACAAGACAACAGGGGGTGGCTCTGACATGGCTGTGTAGTTGTCCAGTGCCGATCATACAAGACAGCAGGGGATGGCTCTGACCATGACAGTCATACAAGACAGCAGGGGATGGCCCTGACATGGCTGTGTAGTTGT